CAACTTTTCAGGTACTGTTCTGCGCATGTGATGGCTTGGACTGGCCGGTTGGAGTGATCATACCGAGAGGCAATTCTTCTTACGCTCAGACCATCGCATATGAGACAAATGCTGCAGCATTAGAACTAGGACGGAAGGCAGTCAATAAGCAACATCTTCTGGATGGCTTCACATTCAAGTAGTATTCTCTACTTCTTTGCTTTTCCTTTTTTCTTTCTTTTCTTTTTTTCTTTCTTTTTAGACGAACATTTTGGTACTACGAATATTCTCCTACAATTGTCTTTTGAATCAAGACTTCTGAAAATCTCTGTGTGTTGTGTTGAGTTGATGTTTCGAGGACTTTTTTTGAGTTGTGGTGGTTTTGCGTTGACTTTGTTGAGCAGGTTGACTACAATACTAAACTGTTATGACGAGATCGTGCTATTTCAAAGAACCCAGAAAGCCTCAAGAATTCAAGTAACGTCCTTTTAGACGACATTTTTCTCAGACTTAGAAAAAACATTTGACGAAGAGCTATAGTAGAGTGGGGGTTTTTCATAAGTGGAACTAGCGGTCAATTGCGGAATGTCCACTCATCTTTGCAAGATCCAATGGTGCAAAAAGAAAAGTTTCACATGCGACAATAGAAACCGCTGATCCGTTCATAACTTGCTTGTGGAAAGCAAGAAGACAAAAAAATTTACAACAAAGGATTTATTCATCAATACTCCTGTTACGACGTTGCTTTCATGCGACATGGTTTATAGCAAACAGCAAACGTGCAACAGCACTTTACTCAATCTTAGAAAGGAAAGCACGGAGCTATTTTGCAGATTTACGTTTATGTCTGGAAATTGCTCCGACATTGTCGCCGGCGGAGTTGCGGCAGAATTGATTTTAAAATACAACGTGGCTGCCATCATTGGACCGGCATGCATCGAAGGTCCGTCCTAAATTTGCAAATCGAGACTCAAACCTTTTTTTAGAAATCAAATCTGTAGCACCGCTCTCTACGTATTACAATGTTCCTACATTTGCTTGGGGATTGGCGACCTCTAGTCTGAGTGAAGAGGAGAGATATTCTTCCGTCATGACAGTTAGAAGTACAGGACAAGAGTAAGACAACGATGAGCAGGCTTTCTTTTTGCTAAAAATCCTTTTTAGCTTTGCTGCGGCACTCATGGATATCATAAATCATTTCAAATGGGAACAATTTGCAACGATATATTATGGCGATGAATGTGCGGATTTCCATGAGGAGCTGGTGGTAAGCTGTTTAGGAAGTATATCGGCCATACAGTCGTCTACAAAAAAAAACAATTCATTAATCCTAGTTGGATAAATCAATTGATGTGAGTGAAACGCACGCCAACAACCGCTAGGGAGGAAACCATAAAGAGGAAAACGCATTAGGCTGAATTTAACCCTTGATATCAAATGTAGCTTTCGGATACGGCTTATAAGAGGACAAATGGAACAATGAGACTG